CCTCTCTTGGGCTGTCCCTCCACCCTACCAACCATGATGTCCTTCTCCAAGGACCAGTTCCTCCTGACCACATGTGAGTATGTGAGATGGAGCTTCAAAATCCTGGCCTCCAAGGAGAAACTTGGTATCACCCTCTCTAAGACAGATCCATTTGTTTTCTTGGCAGTCCATGGTATGTTCAACACTCTTCTCGAGCACCACAACTCAAAGGCATCTATTCTTCTTCTGTCATCCTTAGTCATTATCCAGCTCTGTGATGCATAGCAAATAATTACAAAGACTATGGCCTAGGTTGGGCACACCTTAGTGTCTAGACTGACATTGTTGCTTTTCAGTAAACTAGAGAGGTCTCTGACAGCACATGCCATATACACACACCAAATTATGTTCTAAAAATAAAGAACAAATTTTGTTCTTCTCCTCAAAACATTAAATGTAAAATTACCCCATAGGATCCAGCAATACCATCTTTAGCTCAAAAGTCTTGAAAGCAGGAACCTAAACAGATAAGTGTACTCTCACATTAATGACAGCATTTTCACAAGAGCTAGAAACATAGGAAGAATCTGTGTCCAACAGAACCTGATATCCATACATAGAGTGGACTACTAATCAGTCATAAAGAGAAACGAAGTTATGACACATGTACAACATGGGTGGGCCTTAAAAACACTGTGCTGACCACCATCAGATGCCGGTCTTTGTGACTCATCGTTTATTCTTCTGCACTTTAATTTATTTTATATAAACATCACCCATGGATCAAAGAAAATATATTTTTCTTTTTTCTCATATAAGAAATCTAGGTGTAAATATTGAATACGGGGCGGGTGGGGTGGTGGAATCCTTGTAATGTATATGGAGTGGTATGCCCATTTGCTACCATGACTGAGTGTTCTCACTTGACAATGAAGTGGCCTTCAAAAACTAAAAGAGAACTGTCACAAAAGGCTTCTGAGTTTCTCTTCCAGTCACAAAAATCAGTGTTGTCATTTTTGCCCAGTGTATGAAAGGAATATCGGGCCTTTTCTACTCAGGCTTAACTCATGGGCTTAATACATAGTCTTACTTTAAACCCACAAGCCCACTATCATCAGGTTGATTACAACTCCACACCCCTGCATAGAGTTTTCCTGGGCTGTTAATCTTTACAGGATGAGACTGCTTATCTTTCTCCAGTGGAGTGCCTAGTGGATTCAAACTTCTGACCTTTCAGTTAGCAGCACAACACGTGCAATGCCACCAAAGCCCCTTTCACTTCTACGAAAGGACCCTTTTATTTCAGCTACCTTCCTGGGGTGACCTTTTCTTAAAGATAAACAGGAAAGAACTCCAAACCATAGAATAGATATGTAACCAGTATGCTAACTTTTGTATGAATGGGTTAACTGCTATAGACAATGCTTTTGTGTTATTTTAGATCCCATGTCTGGGGGACTGTCACTTAATTTTTTCATGATTTTGGCTTTGATAGGAAATGAGCAGAATGAAATCACCAAAGAACAATGATCAGTTAAAATGTCAGTTCTAACCAGAAAATAAAAGACTCAGAAAGAAACTAAGTTGGACTTTTTCTAATATAGAACGAGAAGTGGTTTTTGAGCTAAAAAAAACAAAAACAAAAACAAAAAACTTCATTTTTTAATTTTTTTTAGGTTATGTATTTCTCTATACATTTTCTTTCCCATGTGGCTCAACTCATTTGCTACTAAGTTTAATAGTATAACTAATATAGTAAGACCAGCTTCCTAAAAATTTTAGTGTGCATTAAAATTGTGGGGGTTTTGGCATTAAAAGTTCTAACTCGGCAAATATGGTCTTCTTAAATGAATTTTTAAAAAATTCACTTTCAAATATCATTATATCAAAGTCTTCTAATGTCTTAAGAATACAGAACTCAATACTTGATCTTGTAGTTCAAACTAGTATTTATAATCTGAATACAGCTCAATTGAATACAAGCTTTTGGTATTGGAAGTTCATCTATTTTAGAATTTAGCCATTGTTCAAGTTTGTAGCTTTTCCCCCCTTGCCCCAACAGGGAGATGTTTCAACAAATCTATGAAAGGTAAAAAATCTATTTCCCAGTAAAAACTAAATATCTTAATTTTCAAAAGGGTTGGGTACGGTGACCTCTTGATGGTTGATGGGCCAAGCAAAGGTCCTGAGTACTCACCAGTGTTGATGAATAACCTTTACGATAAGGAAACCATACAAGCAAAGCATTCCATTTTATTGATATATTTTAAATTATCAAGGTGGTCATTTTACTACTAGTCAACCCTTGGGTAAAAACAAGAGCGAGCAGCCCTTTGTAGGCTGGCTTCTCGTAACACACTGAGTTGATTTGGGCTTGTTGGGTTTTTGCTTTGGTTTTTTTTTTTTTTTAAGTTACCACCCTACAGCTTTATCTCTATCTTCACTCTTTTGACTGCTAAAGTTCATTAGTAGATTTGCCTTCCAGGGATACTGAGTGTACGTATTTATGTGTGTGTATAATATTGTTACATGTAAACAAACTTTAATTTGAAGTGCAACTATTATGTGGTATCCATGTATATCGACCATGTGTCATATATCAATTATGGTCACTAGGCAGTCTTTTTTATGATACTTATACTGTTTGTCATTTCACATGTAAAATTTTGCAAAACTCTTTTTATCCACAAAGTACATGTTTGGGTTTTCTTCTTTAGTCCTGGAGAATCCTGTCATCTTCTCCTCTGTATTTGTATTGCTAAGAAGATGTTACATATGCAGGTCTTTCTTGACAGTGGAGAATTCCATTAATGTGTAATATGGAGCACATTACATCTTAATAAAGATTCGATATAATAGCAAAAAAAAAACAACACTGTGCTGAGTGAAAGATATCAGCTATAGAGTAACAAACATTATATACTCCACTTAAATAAAACATTCAGAATAGGCAAATGTATTAAGACAGAAAGTGGATTAGTGGTTACCAGGGAATAGGGGAAGAAGAGAAAGAAAAATTATTGCTTCAGGGGTGCTGAGTTTCAGTTTGGAATGAAGAAGATCTTCTGGAAATAAGCAGTGGTGGTGGTTGTACAATAAGGTGAAAGTAATGTCGTTGAATGGAATATTTAAAAACTATTAAAATGATTACTTTTGTGCTATGTATGTTTGTGTGTAAATACATGTTGTTGTTTTGTACTTTTGAGTCAGAAATGACTCGTAGCAACCCTCCAATGAATTTTCAGAAACAGTAAATCACACAGGAAGAGATAGCCCATCTTTCTTCCGCAGAACAGCTGGTGGATTTGAACAACATGATTTCAGGCTGGTGGTACAACTCTACCATTAAGCCACCAGATGTTTTTGTTGTGTACTGGAGAGTCAGAATCAACTCATAGCTGACCCTCCAGCAGGTTTTCAGAGGCAGTAAATCACATAGGAGGAGATTGCCCATCCTTCTCCCATAGAGTAGCTGATGGCCTTGAACCCTGTGCTTCTGGAATTGCAGCACAGCTTCTTGCCACTAGGCTATCAGAGCTCCCGTGTGTGTGTGTGTGTGTGTG